CACCCAAGCAAGCTTGCTCCTGAGCTGCTGCTCTGCGTATTCATTGACACACAGAGTCGTGGCTCGGCCCCACCTTCTTTCTCCTCATTGGCTCACTGGCAGTGATTGACAGCAGCATGAGCCAATGAGGAGAAAGAGTCCCTGGAGAGCCAGTGGTCTTGTGAACATTGATGGATCCAGAGGGGGCTCAAGTAAGTATGGGGCTGCGGGGGGAGCTGCACACAGAAATGTCTTACCTTCATGCATAGAATGCATGAAGGTAAGAAACCTAGTGCCTATACAATCACTTTTATTTCCACTTTAAATCAAGGGCTATTGCTGCTGTACGAAGTCTAGTATAGCGTAGCTGCCAGACAGACTTGAGTGTAATGTAGTCAGATCAATTCAGGAGTCAGTTCTGATTGGTTGGTATGTATTGGTTGGTATGATGTCTTTGGATGTCATCTTTGCAGTGCTGTATTCAGTAAGCACAATAAATAATTTTATGTTTCTAGCTATATTATTGGTATGTGTTTTGTCTTTTTTTTTTTTTATATATATATATATAATATATTTTTTAATTGTGTTTTCTTATCACTAAGAGATTAAAGACTAAACTGTTAAGGTGCCGGGGTGAGATTTGTTATTTTCTGTGTTAAATAAATAAATAAAAGCATTAATAGCTGTCTCACAAACACATTTTTTGTATGTGTAAACAACATTAGTCTCTTGGAAACCCTGCTGTTACAATCTGTTACTTCAAGAGTTTAGCATCTGGAGATATTGGACTAAATTAGTTTTGCAAGTATAAAAATAGCTATTTTGCTTAGGATTGCAGCAATGCATTATTTCCCCCTTTGACATTTTTTGGGGTTTTTTTCTGTATTTTAGATTCCTTTTATACATGTGCAGCTGTGAGGGGCAGCACTGTTTTCCACTTCAACCTCATACACGTCTGCATCAAATATAAGGATGAGGAGCCAATTTCCGCCTGCCAAAGAACCAGCTGATAGGACAGATGCAGTGCCGGAGGAGGCATGGCAAACTGAACATGCAGGCAGCTGTAAATACGTGAACCTGTTCTGTAATTTTAATCTAGCGTTTCATCAGTAGCTCCTAGGGGCAGTGCACAACATATCAGTTTTTTGCAGACAATTTTCATTAAAGTATAACTAATGGCAAAACCTTTTTTTTTTTCTGTTACATTTTGAATAGAGTGGAAATGGAATTTATTGCTCTCTGTGCCCCCGATTCACCCTCTCTGGTTGTCATGTTTACCATTATCATCAAAGGTGAAAGTAAAGAAAACCCCACATTTTTGGGTTGTCCCCAGAAAAGTAATAGAGAAGAAATCTTCCAATGGGGGGACACTGGTTCTGGTGACCTGGGAATTCCCTTAATTTGCAGAGATTATTACTCCCTCTTCCTGTTTTGGCTATGGGACAGGAAGTGAAGGTAAATCTCCCCAATGGGACACAGATAGCAAAAAATAAACCACCATGGGTTATAACCCTCCTTTACTCCAAATCTGAAAAAAACAAAAAAAAACAAAAATGTTTTGCCTATCGTTCAGCTTTAACCCTTTCATAATGGAAGGTAAAAGGAATCTGATCTCCTGAAGACAATTTTGCAACTTTGACATGTCTTAGTAAAACTGTATATATCATCACAACTACTTGTACGGCTGTCTATGGCCTGTTTCAGTTGAATATTTATAGGGACAGTAAGATTTAAACAGTACTAGGTCAATAGATTGTAATACAAGTCAGACATTTTGCAATCTCACCGTACAATTTCCATTCGATGTACCAATAACTGGTTAGTGAATGGGAGTATTTGGTTGATTTTAAATTGATTTGATTGTTTATAACAGTAAATAAATCTAAGCAAGGTTAAACAAAGATTTTTGCAGACAAGTTGTAAGGCTCCTTTTACACTAGTGGTCTGATCAGGTCCTCCATTCTCTATGGAGCAGCAGATATACACAAACTTTTGTCCAATTGCACCCACCTACCTCCAGTTTGATTCAATCTGCTAAAAAACAAAACAGCAGAGGATTAGTTCCCCTCCGTCTGGGCAGTTGAGTGTAAATGGACAGCCGGTTAGTTTACATCAGACTGCCCTTAGAGCAGAGCGGGCTGTGTCTGTGTCCGCTCTGCATAAGTGGAGGGGACATGAACCTGCCATCCGCTCGCTCCACTCTGCTCAGCGTCAAAGGTGTCTAATGTGTGTGTCTAGTTTAAAAGCTACAGCAGTATTGTGCATATGTACAGTATTTCCTAATAATACATTTAAATGTTTAGTCTGAACTCTTGGTATGTCCTAATGCAATGGGATACTGACCATTGCATGGCCTTTTTTATTTCGGTTCTATAGAAGAATTTGGTTTCCTCAGCCTTTATCTTCTATTACAGCAGAAAGCTTGTTTTACAATCCTTTTTAACATTTCTCTTTGGTAAAAACCTGAAGAGCCCCCTGTGAAGATATATTCTCTGCTCTTTGCACAACACCCTGAACAGGCATTTGCAGATAGTGGAATGAAGGCAATGACTTGTAATCATGTACGAGAAAACCCTAGGCAGCATATTTAAAAGGTAGACATGAAAGGCAAAGAGTCTTTGAACCAGCCTTATGATACCTCAAACACTATCAATGTAGTTTTTAAAGAAGCAGAATTAAAGAAAATTAAACTTTGCTGTATTTGGAAGTTGGCAGTGCTTTTCCAGAAGTTGTCAACTCAGTTAAAAACATAGCAATAGAAGTGTGGTTTATTTAATGCCCCACCAGAAAAAATACCCTTGCGGTGCCCCCCTTTTACTTCATTCCGCTCTCCAGCAGGTTTTTTTTCCATGCTGTGTTACTGGCCCACTCTAAGGTCATCACATATAAATCGAAGGACCAATAGACATTGAATGTGAGGATGGAAAGACTCTGCCCACAACCCGAATTGTCAACAAGAAGTGAGCGCTGGAAGCCTGCCCGAGCAAGGGATGAGAGGAGCATTATATCTCTTCTCTATACTCTTCTATCCCTTGCAATGAAGGGGGAAGGGGGTTTGGGTTCCCACTGCAAGAGTCTGTGTGCATTGTAATCTGCTTTGCAGCATATATCGACGGGCTTTTGTTAATGTCAGAACTGATTCTCTCTCAAAACAAATCAATGGGAATGCAAAAGCAGCTTGAAGCAGGTTAAATGCAGGTCAGAAAGACTTCATCTGCAGTTCAAATGAGCCATCTACGAATTCTGAGTGATGTCGGAAGCATCTCAAATTGATGTCAAGCTGTTTGCCTATTGGCTCAGTGCCAAAGCTCTATGACACAGACCATGAATGGGGACAGAACATAACACCATGCACAGAATCATTGGATGCATTTGTAGTTTAAATCCCCAAATTGCAGATAACCTTATGGATAGGGACACATGCTCTAGAAAAGGATGCAATAGAGCATATGTCTGATATTTTTTTATTCTCCTACCAAACCTCCTTGTGTACAGATGGGATCCTAGATTCCAGATGTCTTTGAATAATTTCTGTATGTACAGGTAGGCTTTTTTTTATAGTATCCAATAGGAATGTAGTACTGATATTTAAGTCCAACACATTTTGTCAGCCACAGCTACATTATAGAATTGTATGGGGTACGTGGCACACTCGAGCTATAAATTAACTAGATCAAACCGCGCAAGTGCTTAAATAATAAAGTAGCAAACAGTTTAAGTGGATATCACAAAAGTGAAAAAATATACCTGGTGTTGCACTAATAAAATAATCAAAGCGATCTCTTATAAATATTACATTAATAATTTCATAAATATACAATTATGCAGTGAATGAAAGTGCTCTAAAATAGCCTAATAACCAAAGAATAAAGTGCAAAATGATCAAAGTGTAAAATAATAATTATATATGTGACAGTCCCAATGAAGGTATGAGACATTCTCCTTTTCCTTCATTCAATGAATATTCTCAAATCTTTGTTCCTGTTTGTGTGACCACTACATTACTGTGACAACAAATTGGAGGCTTACAAAATCCTTTTGACCCCTTATATATAGGAGGTCAACATGCACTTTGTTGAAAACTAACGATACACACTGCTATGCCTCTAACTGGACCACATGTGCCTTCCAAAACATCCGATCACACGGGGCTAGTTTACAACCATGAAAAACAAAAAAATGTCTCTCATAGTGCAGATAGTTTGCAAACCAATTATTAAAAAAGGAGGAATCACACTTATTGTTTAATCTTGAGTGCATAACAAAATCATCAAGCAGCAAAGATCAGCATAAATGGGAACTCTTACGCTATGAAACACATTTTCTTACCCATAATGAATAAAAATTAAACTGGACTGTTAACTCTACATCAGATGCTCTCTTTGTTCCTCCGGTCTTAGTACTGTCATTCTATTATCCTCCTTTTCAGATCCATCAGATATTGAAGGGCAGCCTGTTATCTAAAATCTAAATATCTTAACTAAAAGATCGAAATACACTATATTGCCAAAAGTAATGGGATGCCTGCCTTTACACGCACATGAACTTTAATGGCATCCTAGTCTTAGTCTGTAGGGTTCAATACTGAGTTGGCCCCCCCTTTGCAGCTATAACAGCTTCAACTCTTCTGGGAAGGCTGTCCACAAGGTTTAGGAGTGTGTCTATGGGAATGTACAACCATTCTTCCTGAAGCACATTTGTGAGGTCAGGCACTGATGTTGGATGAGAAGGCCTGGCTCTCAGTCTCCGTATTCATTCATCCCAAAGGTGTTCTATCAGGTTGAGGTCAGGACTTTGTTCAGGCCAGTCAATTTCCTCCACCCCAAACTTGCTCATCCATGTCTTTATGGACCTTGCTTTGTGCACTGGTGTGCAAGCATGTTGGAACAGGAAGGGGCCATCCTCAAACTGTTCCCACAAAGTTGGGAACATGAAATTGTCCAAAATGTTACCTTCAATGGAACTAAGGGGCAAAGCCCAACCCCTGAAAAACAACTTCCCACCATAATCCCCCCTCCACCAAACTTGGCACAATGCAGACAGACAAGTACCGTTCTAGTTGCAACCACCTAACCCAGACACATCCATCAGATTGCCAGACAGAGAAGCATGATTCGTCACTTCAGAGAACATGTCTCCACTGCCCTAGAGTCCAGTGGCGGTCCAGTGTGTTTTACACCACTGCATCCGATGCTTTGCATTGCACTTGGTGATGTGATGTTTGGATGCAGCTGCTTGGCCATGGAAACCCATTCCATAAAGCTCTCTATGCACTGTTGTGCTAATCTGAAGGCCACGTGAAGTTTGGAGGTCTTTAGCTGTTGACTGCAGACAGATGGCGACTTCTGCGTACTTCAGCAAGCACTTACCCCGCTGTCATTTTATGTGGCCTACCACTTTGCAGCTGAGTTACTGCTGTTCCCAGCTGCTTTCACTTCGTTATAATAGCACTAACAGTTGACTGTGAAATATTTAGTAGCAAGGAAATTTCACGGATTTACTTATTGTACAGGTGGCAACCTATCACGGTACCACTCTTGAATTCACTAAGCTCCTGAGAGCGACCCATTCTTTCACAAATGTTTGTAGAAGCAGTCTGCATGCCTAGGTGCTTGATTTTATACACCTGTGGCCATGGAGGTGATTGAAACACCTGAATCCAATGATTTGGAGGGGTGTCTCAATACTTTTGGCAATATAGCGTATCTGCCAAAATCCTGATCCATCCTTCCACCAGTATATCTTAATTTTAAACTAGCAAATTGGATCTAAAATTCACATTCGACAGACCTTCTGTAAATTCAGAGAAAAAAAATGGCAGAGTACTATGATGGACGCCGCTTATGTTCCATAAAGTGTGAACTTTCTGTTTTTCTAATCATTGTTTATTAACTTTATGCATTATGATAAGCCTATATTGGCTTAAGTTTAAGGAAATTTAGAAAAATACATTATTCAACAATTTAGTTTTAAGTGATAAATAATTCATGGTGCTCCTACTGAATAAAACTTGTACATTAAAATAAGTTGACTATATTTATTTTATCGTAATATTTAACTGTATAGGGCATATTCATATTTACTTTCTGATACAGACCATTAAAGTATTCTACAATTTTGTAAGAATGGGACAATAGATATCTGCGGTGTCTACATCTCTTTAGACGTATTTAAAGTGATATTACACCCTCTGTTTTTTTTAAGTACTTTCAGCAGCTGATTTAAAGTGGTTGCAAAGGCTTAAAGTTTTTTTTTTTTTACCTTGATTTATTCTCTGCATTAAGGTAAAAAACATGCTGTGATTAGGACCCCCCCCCCCCAGTTCCCCCTCATACCTACCTGAGCCTGATCTTGATTCAGCACTGTGTCCAAGAGCGGTGACTCTCCGCTCTCCCTGTCCTCACAGGGCAGAGAGGCAGCAGTAGCTATTGACTCCTGCTACTGTTTGTCGAATCCTGTGACAAGGTGGCAGGGCCAAGCCTCACTGTCTCTGTCTATGGGTATTGGCAGTGTGGCTCAGCATTGAGTGCAGAGAAGCAGATTCCTATGGGAGCACTTTACGAAGAGAAGGAGCCTGGAGCGTCAGCGGAGGATGCTGCCAGAAGAGCAGTTCGGGACTGCTCTGTGTAAAACCATTGCACAGAGCAGGTAAGTATGACATATTTGTTATAGAAGAAAATAGCTTTAGAATCACTTTAATTACTGAATGAGCCATTTCTTTATGTTTCCCTTCTGCTCCCTGCACCTCCCGTTTTCCCTGCTTTTTCTATGTTCCCCGTTTTGTATATAGTTAGTTGTGGTTGGCTTTTTGTTTAAGTGTATTGGTCAGGTATTCTGTAACTGAGTTTTTGATTTACTTGTAATTTTTATGTTTGCTATGTGCTAACTTTTGGATGGATTTTGTTTTACTGTAAATAAATCTCACTCAACTCAGAAACTGAGACTAGACTGTATATAAGTAAAGCCATGCAGATTGCTGCTGTTTTTTTCTTGACGCTCACAGACTGACTGACAGATTGCATTGTCCACTGTTAACTCTTTCCTATGAAGACTAGAAGTTGAGGAAAGCAGCATTAAGAGAGCAGGAGCCAGCAACATTAAAAATTGTAAACTGCTGGTGCTGGGGTAAGACTATAACTAACAGTTTACTGCGGAATGTTTATTTTTTTGTGCTCCGTGTGTTAAGCTCTTCCCGCCAGAGATGCACATACATGTGGCCTCTTGGCGGATGGGCTGTAACACAGAGAGGTCGCATATATATGGCCCTATGTAAACACTTTTACACGTTACCGGCAGGAGCTTTCTGATACTGTTGCAGCCAATCACAGCGGTCACATGACCCAAATGCCTGCCTCTCAGCATTTAGAAGCTCTTAAAAGGATCGAAAGGCGCAGGAGGAATTGGTTAAGCTAAAATAATTGATGGTTTAACCACTTGCTGTCCAGCCGCTGTATATAAACGGCCGGACGGTGGCAGTCCAGGGGCGGGTTGCTGTTCATAAACAGCGCCCACCATTTTGGACTGTGTGCGCTCCCTGGGAGTGCGTAGCACCGTGTTCCGGTGCCCACTGTGTCCGGAGGACACAGTGGGCCCCGGAACACGGTGCTACGCACTTCCAGGGAGCGCACACAGTCCAAAATGGTGGGCGCTGTTTATGAGATCATATGAACTCCCCGGAGGACACAGTGGAACACCGATTGGTATACAGGACCTCTGTGCAAGGTCCCGATCATGTGATCACTGATTGGCCAATCAGTGATCACATGCAGAGTAGTAAGCAAGATGTCACGTCTGACATCATTGCTTACTATGTGTGAAATCTGTGAATGATCACAGAGATCACATGGTACAAGGCTATTCACAACAGCCTTGTACCATGTGACAAGCTGTGACCAATCACAGCTCACACAGTATTTCTCAATGGCTGCAAGAATGCAGCCAGAGAGAAGGAGAAATTGCTTTTACAGCCTTTATGGGTGTAAAAGCAATCAGTGTAAAAAAAAAAAAAAAAAATCTTCATCATCCCCCACAAGTAGTACAGTGTCACCATGGTGAAACTGTACTGATAGGGTGACCATATGTAAAAAAAAAAAACCCAAAAAAAACATAATATAAAAAAATAAAATAAAAATGTAAAACATTTTTTTTTTTTAAATTATAATATTTGGTTATAAACTAATTATTTGGGTTATTTTTTTTTATTTTTTTACGAAAAAGATAACTGAATAAATGTTGGTCAAGATTTATGATGAAATATTATTTATTTGCAAAATTTTATAAGAAAACACTTTTTTTTCAAAATTTGTGGACTTTTTCATTTATATAGCAAAAAAAATAAAAGACCCAGTGTTTAATAAATACCACCAAAATAAAGCTTAATCTGTCTCAAAAAAATGCTAAAAAAATTCATATGGGTACAGTGTTGCATGACCACACAATTGTCATTCAAAGTGTGATAGCGCTGAAAATTGGCCTGGAAAGAAAGGGGGTGAAAGTGTCCATACTTGAAGTGGTTAATATCACGTAGAATGGCACTAGCATGAACAACCCCTAAGTCACTGACCTTGAATAAAAATAAAACCAGTAAAGCGCAAAAGTCAGAACCTGTGATCCGTAGATTTTTTTTTTTTTTTTCTCCCCAGGTCAGCGATTGAAGCAAATCAATCTGTCAAGGTTTGCATATAGTCTGCATTTTTTGAAGGATAGGAGAACAGTGGAAACCTACATATTTATATCCTCCTAGTTTTACTTTGTAAAATTTCAGTGAATAGTCAGTTCAAGGGGCTTCATTTGGAGGCATTACTCAGGTTTATATATACAGTACTCGGCACTTTGAGATTTTAACCAATATCTAAATGAACACAAGAACAGTTTCCAAAATTTTGACAAAACTGAGTTTTATAGAACATTTGTTTAGCTCATTACATGAAAGTAAGGTTAATAAAATAACTTGGATTACAAAATCTTCAATTTTACTCAAATTAGTTGATGCAAAAAACGAATACACCCCACAAAAAAAACTACCACATCTAGTATTTTGTATGACCTCCATGATTTGTAAGGACAGCACAAAGGTTTTCTGACAAATCTGTTTGAGTGTACTTATTTATGCTGAGCACTGTATATATTGTGTTTTGGCTCACAAAAGAGCCATTTAGGCACTTGTGAAGGGCTAGAGCACATAGATTTCCATTGGCAATGGAGGAAATGACTGTAGAAACTACAGTATTTTTAAAGGAGGAGTACAGCCAAAGCTCTTTTGGCTGTACTTCTCCTGTGGATCACTAAAGTCCTCTGTCGGCTGAAGTCACTCGACCATCCAGGCTGGGTAAAAATCCCGACTTTAAAGTCAGGATCTACCCCAGAGCGATCTGCTGAGAGCCTGAGCTAGCAGCTGCTTCCCCCTCCACAGCCAAGCATTCCAGTGAGCGCTAGGGGGTAGACAGCGGTGACTGACAGTCACTGCTCTCAGCTCAGAGTGGCTTTGAGAACTCGGCAATCAGCGGTCATGTGATCGCTGAATTCTCACCCTTGGAGCCGGTGGAGGACAGATGCAGCATCGGACTGATGCAGCATCCACCTAGGAAGGTACACTATACTGCCAAAAGTATTGGGACATCCCTCCAAATCATTGGATTCAGGCGTTTCAATCACCTCCATGGCTACAGCTGTATAAAATCAAGCACCTAGGCATGCAGACTGCTTCTGCAAACATTTCTGAAAGAATGGGTTGTTCTCAGGAGCTCAGTGAATTGAAGTGTCGTACCGTGATAGGTTGCCACCTGTGCAGTAAATCCATCCGTGAAATTTTCTTGCTACTAAATATTCCATGGTCAACTGTTAGTGGTATTATAGCAATGTGGCAGCAGCTGGGAACAACAGCAACTCGGCCACAAAGTGGTAGGCCACATAAAATGACAAAGCGGGGTCAGCACCTACTGATGCGCACAGTGAGCAGAAGTCGCCATCTGTCTGCAGAGTCAACAGCTAAAGACCTCCAAATTTCATGTGGCCTTCAGATTAGCACAGTAGTGCGTAGAGCACTTCATGAAATGGGTTTCCATACCCAACTTGTCCGGCATCAGTGCCTGACCTCACAAATTTGCTTCTGGAAGAATGGTCGAACATTCCCATAGACACACTCCTAAACCTTGTGGGCAGCCTTCCCAGAAGAGTTAAAGCTGTTATAGCTGCAAAGGGTGGGCCAATACAATATTGCGTGGTGAGCGTGCATACAGGCCATGGCGGTTGAGTGCATTTCTTAATGTTTTCTATGAAACTTTTGTACCTGCTAATTCCAGGTCTTTCTGAAGCTCTCCACAAGTGGTCCTTGGCTCGTGGGCAACTTGTCTGATAACTCTTTTCACTCCTATGTCTGAAATTTTGAGAGGAGCACCTGGTTGTGGCCGGTTTATGGTGAAATGATATTCTCTCCACTTCCAGTTTATAGCCCCAACAGTGCTCACTGGAATATTCAGAAGTTTAGAAATCCTTTCTAATGTGTTCAATACTTTTTCCCTGTGTTATTCCATTTTATTACACACAACTTATTTTGTGAACTTACTTGTTTTGGTTTCTTTGTACGTTTTGGATTGCATAGGTTGTTAC